CATTAGTCTGTATTGTTTTAGAAAAACTGTCACATGACACTAAACAAAAATGTATCAGTACTTGGGCAAGTATCAGTACTTGGAAAAAATGGTACAGGTGCATCCCTTATATTTATAACAAAAAAAAAACATACATTAAAACAGAGATGAACAAATTCCAGGAGCCCCGTATGCTCTTTAAATATGACAGCTGCCTCCTAACTTGAATTTTTCTCTAGTCCAGTCTTGGAGCTGGAAAAGTATCGGTACATGTACCAAGTATGGTACTTGGTATCTGAACATCCCTAGTTGTAAGTGAATAGGTTCCTGTACCATAATAGATCTCACAGTGCGAGTGTGAAAATCTGTTTCCAAGAGTACACAGACTGTGTTCCCTCCAGATTAGTCAAGGTGAAATGTTAAAGAAATGACCACACATCCTTTACTTATTCACATAATATGCAAAAATGTAACCCCTATCCATGAGGTTCCATTCACACATTAGCAGTTTTCCACGTGTATGCAGCGCAAAACATAACGAATATATTCCAATATACCTTGTTCACACCTGCACGACATCCTTGTTCACACCTGCATAAAAGTCAGTCTGCGATATTCTGGGCAGATTCCGCGCGTTCCAACTATAGTAGTAGCCGCAAACGTGTGGCATCTGCACGCAGGTAAAAATGTGTGCGTTTTCGTGACGTGTAGAAACCGCACTGATTTTCCAACCACTAGGTGTGAATGAAGTCTAAATCACAAATTAAAAATTGTGAACACACCATTGAAAGGAAAGCTGTACCGAGTGAAATACTGGGGCTGCCATTACTGAAAATGCCAATGACCTGGTGATTTCTGGCTTTAAAAGTTTCTGAATCACGGAACCAGCAGAATAAGGGCTTGTTTATACCATCTCCAAACCAGAACCTTTTTTTGTCTGGTCCAAAAGCACATCCCCATATATTCCAATGGTTTTCCTGCGTGTAGTTCAAACCATTGCGTTCGGTTCAAGACCATCGCCATCAAAAACTCACCCAGATCTGGTCTGGAGATGGTGTGAACAAGCCCTAAAGCAATAGGTCAAACTACAGCCAGAAATTATTCTGACATACTTGTCTACACCCAGTAACTGAACCTATTGCATCAAACAACCAGCATTTTAAAAACGAGACATCAGCAATGGCAACCTACATACGTATATCCCACAATACTAAATCCTTTTAACTAGGGATGCACCGATACTTCGGTATGGAGTACCAGTACCGATATTCGCCGATACCGAATACCAGAAGTCCTATTCAGGAAGCCAGGCGGCGCGCAATGACTTGCCACCTGGCTTCCTGATTAGCCGGGAAGTGTGTAAAGACTCGCCACCCGACTTCCCGAGAAGCCGTCCTTATGTGACGAGAAAGCATGGAGCAGGCTTTCTGGCCAATCATGAAGCCGGGCGTTGTGCAATGCACCCGGCTTCCTGATTGGCCAGGAAGCCGGCTCCATGCTCCGTCATGAGGTGACGAGGGAGCATGAAGCCGGCTTCCCGACCAATCAGAAAGCAGGGCAGCGTGTAATGACACACTGCCTGGCTTCCTGATACCGGAAGTATCGGGCTAGGCATCGGAGCATTTGGGCGAGTACGAGTATTCGGCCAAATACTCAACATCGGCACCGATACTAGTATCTGTGAGTCCCTACTTTGAACATAAACCCACTCCCCAGAAATATCACTGAAGCTAAGCCCAAACAGTTAAATCTAGTCTAATCCATCCCCAAAAATGGACTTAGCCCTGAAGTTAACCTTTATTTAGCTCACAAAATGTACAGGTACCCCTAAACTAAAAGTTCCCCTACAATCCTATACTCCCAATACAACAGCGATGAAAGGGTTACAACTACAACCTCCTACCACCAGACAAATAATATTGTTAACACTCAAGTGTTATTAAAATCTGTGATGCCCCAAAACCTGCAGCCAAAAATAAAAACACATTGCATTCAAAACGGTTTGTAGCTTCATTTTTACAGTGTAGGTCTGAGTATAAAGAAATCTGAAAATCCAGTGACGTTGTCCAAAGCAAATGGACTACCTCAATTACATTTTACATTGGTCCGACAAAGGTTGTCACACAGCATTTTATTCCTAGCACGTGTCTTTCTAACATATATATTTATTAATGACAGCAAAGCATATGCAGGTTAGAATAGCATTGCCGGACATAAAACATTCACATTCCAGTACACTAGAGAACTGGGTTAGATTGTTTATGAAGCAACACGTGTGTGAAAAGGCTGCAATGGTACTAAGTACCGAGTCACCTTCTTGCAGTTTACTTAAGTCCATGAGGTGGCAAATTCTTTGACAGCCTTCTCACTAAAGTGTTTGTGATGAGTTCCTTTGAAGAAATTACACACTGTCTGCTTGCTTGAACAAACATTTATTGCAGTTTTTGTAAATGTAGTTTGACAGTATATCTGGATCAGCTATAAACAGATTTTGGTAAGAAAATAACTAAGTTATGAAAAATGCTTACAATCAACACACGAGAACTTTAGCATAATTCTGTAACAAAACGCTCCCCTGAGCAAGTTTAAAGTGGACATGTGCTTTGCCCATAGGGGGGGAGAGGGGGCAAAGCAACAAGCTGACTCTACAGCCACCATCGCCAGTACACAATCTGACATTCTTTCACTACCCCACTGCTCCATTTAGTTGCTGGGAGTGGAAAGAAGTACCCCCATGTAAGTTTTAAGTCATGACTTTGGGCTTTACACAAGACTCTTTCCTCCCTATGATAGCACTAGGTGCCTAAGTGGCCATTTAGCACTGTGACATGGAGGAAGAAGAGCCACATATGTCATATTGAAGAAAAAAAAATGGTTTCTCTTAATGAAAAGGTATAAAAGCAGCTACAAAAATTGCCAACATGTTTTAGTCCATAGCCATGATTAGGCTCCCTTGGTGGACAGAAACATGTTAGCAATTTTTGGAGCTGCTTTTATACCTTTTCAATAAAAGAGACGCCATTAAGAGGATTCTTACAACTGCCAGCTCTTCTCCCTTTATTTTGCTGATTGGGTCTGGCAGAGACTTGCACTGAGCACTGCGTTACCCATGGAATATGGGTTGAGAAGTTAGAGCGGCTTTATTTTTCCATGTGTCCTATTACTGTAAAGTACTGGGTTTTTTCCCTTCCAGCAGCTAAAAAGTGCAGCAGTGGAGCAAAAAAAGAATGAAAGCGTTAGCAGCCTAGCAGTTAACTAAACCTGTTGCTTTGCCCTGCATATGCAAACCACATGTTCACCATAAAACAGCAAGATTCCAAATAACATGAAGATGCAAAGTTCCCATTCTTCACAGGCATCTCTGCCTGTAAAGTTGTGCAGGAGCTTGCTGACTTCAGAAGCAGGTCCTGAAGGATGGAGGCTCTCTCCAGGGGCCTAAGCTTTGTTAAAGCAAAAGTTAAAAAGAGAAGGGAGAGGATGCTGTTAACATGCAAGCATGCACACAAATGTCAGTTGAAATTCTTCACTCCAAGTTACTCCCCCTATTCATTTCCATCTTAGAGCAGGTAAAGTCAGCCCTCTATTGATAGACACGAGTCTCCACTCTGCAGTTATAACAAGCAGTTTTGCTATGAATTAAACTTTTTCTTCCTTAATTGGAAATAATAGATATACCATCAAGTAAAACAGTTTAGAGCATTGAAATGGGTTCTGCAAAAGGACATGTTCAATGGAAATCTTGGCAAAGCGCTGAGAAATGAATGACACCCCTAGTATTATGCGGTTACATTATGTTAATGAAAATTCCCAGGAAACCAATGGATTAGAATAAACTTGTGCTTTAAATATGCAGACAAAGCAACAGGTTCACTTTAATGCTCCCCTCCAGCTGCTTATACTTGCCTTCTCTGTTGCTGAAATCAAATGGGCTGAAGTGACATACCTTGTACTTACAGGTATGGGGAACATACAACTCGCTTACCTTCCTCCCATGTGACAGTACAGGGCAATTGGTCACTCAGGCACCCAGTGTTATCACAAAAATGGGGGAAAGGGTCCTCAGCCCTGTGTATAGCCAAGCTTACACAAGGATACTTCTACACACTACTGCAGGCAAATGAAGACAGGCAAGTATAAGCATGTGCAATGGTCCACATTGAAGTGAACCTGTAGCTTTTCTTTGCATGAGCTTTAACTCCTTGGTGTTCAACTATAACTTCTTTTTTTTTTTTTAAGTTAAAAACACACATAATATTTACAATGGTCTGGAATGGCATTGTTGTAGAAAAGCCAAAACCTATACAAGAATCTAGGAAATAATACCATTAACCTCCAGTGACTTGAGGTTTAAAAAGGTAGTTTCCAATGGACAGAAGACGCCTGAGAGAACAAAATCATACAGGATATGCTCTTCAGTGCAAACAATTCCGTTCTGCAATTTGAAATAGGACTTTGTTTGACCTTTCTAGGAAAATGGTACTACGCAATGCGGAAAACCAAAATATCAGCCGCAACATGGCGACACATTATTCAGCCTTTGAAAATAAGAAATCTTCAGTCCAAGATTTGTTTAGCCTTCACATACCCATAATAAGCTTAGTATTTTTCTTTACTAGTGATCAAAGCCTTTGCCCATGTAATGGGTAAGTACTTGCAGTGTACAAATTTGGATCATGGTTGTTTCTACAATCGTAGAGGGCTACAAAACATTTACCAGCAGAAGCTTCTATAAAAAAATCGGTGATCGTCAGGTTATGTGGGAAACAAACAAACATTACATGTCCGCTCTCTAGTTGCAAATAGGCAATTGTTTCATAGGATAGAAACAACCATGCCTCACCAATAATCACGGGTTTTTCTGGTCACCTACAATGTCGTTTCTTTCCATTTGTTGAAAGGGCCAACAGGTGAACAGCTTAGGAGCCATAAATACTTTGGCTAGGTCTATGGCATGAAAAACTTTTGTCCTGAACACGTTCTAAAACACTTTGGAAGCAACAGCTTTAAAATCTTCCCACTTCTAACTATTCTTTAAGTGGCACAGTTAGCCAAATGGAAAATAACCAATAAAATAAGTGCACCCTTTTCTGCAGCCACACATTAAAACTATATCTGCCATAGTAAAACAAAAAGAAATAATATCCCTGACCTGGGAGATAGTGTTTATAAAATCAGAAATAAAAACCTTTGCAAACATGACTGGCAGTAGATTGCTGTTTACATGAAATAACTAAAAGATACCTTAATAAAAGAAAATAACCTTTTTCATAGGTATAAAAATAGAGACTTCAGTGGCACTGGCAGTAAAAGAAAGAACAATGCTGGGCAATTACATTACAGAACAGCTTGTTGATTTTGTGCGGGGATCACCCTGTGGGAAAGAAAAAAAAAAATGTATTAAAAATCATAGGAAGGAGGGGGGGGGGGGCTCACTGGAGGACTAGTAAAAGACACCCTTACCAGTTGTAAAAACGTATTAAAACTCTCATTTTACCCAAACTAAGCAATACAAGTTTGAACAGCTGCTAGTAGCAGGTAAGATTGCAACACCCAAATTCGGTGTTTCACCTTGGGTAAAGCTATAAATCCAGGACTAGAACAATGACTGAAAAACAGAATTGAAATTGCACTTATAGCATGCAAAAGCGTGATACCACAACGTGAATTGACTTGCTATAATGAAACATACAATTTTTTCCTTTCTTTAGAACCACAGGTACCTGTAAGCATGTGGTACTCTTATTCACAGGTTGGAGCCACCAACTAGTGTTTCCATACATCAAGTAGTAATTCTAGGGTTTCCATTACTATTAAACTATAGTGTAGAAAAAAAAAAAAAAACACTAAAAAACCCCCCACAAATTTATATTTATAAATTTCCAGAATTTAAGAGCACAGTTCTGTGATGGAAGCACCAATCTGTAAAAGAATGACAAATATACCATATTGAAAGTATTTATTTTGGCTAATAACCTGCTGATGAAAAAGATCTTCCTCCCCGAATTCAGCGTCTTCCTCTTCCTCTACAGTGGTCAGGACAGATGTTGATACAACTCTCACTGCCAATTCCTGTTAGGAAATTAAGGTAAATCAGCCATGTTTGTCACATTATTAAAAGAACTCAATCTTTAAAAAAAAACAAAAAATACTGCTCTTAATATAACCACTGGTTACATTTGCCCTATATATATTGCTGGGATGGCAGGTTACTCAGTGACATCTCTTCTGCATCATTGCCAGGGGAAAGACCGGTCACCATGTTTTCTCACACACCAATCAGAACTTAGCATCTGCATGACTGGCAAGCATAGCTTTGGAATTACTTATGCAAGGGAAACATTTAAAAAAAAAAAAAAGTGTGACACACACACACACTTTGAAACCGAAACTAACCATTTTGTCTGGCCGAAACCGACTTTTTTTCCCTCCAATCTTTCATAAAAATTTCAAATTTAATAATTCTACTTTATTTTTAACACTTTATGGTCGGGGGCTCTAGGGAAATATTGGGGGTCTAAACAGTCCCCTGATATTTCCCTTTTACAATAGAAAAAGTATTGAAGACACAGTACACAATCTCTTTTTGTGCAGCCCTGTTATAAATGAACAGGAATCATCTATACTGAGTGTTCCTTCATACATTGTGAATATAACAAGGAAAATGTTATCAAAACTGGAGCAAACAAAATCTGGAGTAGCTGTGCATGGAACCAATTCAGCTTCTCCCTTTAATTTCCAAATCTCAACGGAACAAACTGGAGAGAAGCCGATTGGTTGCCCTGGGCAACTGCTCCAGATTTAATAAATTCCGCCCATTGAGTACTTGCTATGGCCACAATCATGAATGAATAGGAATTGATGAAGATCCACATTCATAACTGGACATAGTGTACTAACCCAACACTCACCAATCATCTGATTGGTGAGTGTTGATATACCCACTCTCCATCCTGAATTGTTGGCAGGGGGGGCGGGGGGGGAGAGCAGCTGGGATACACTGAATTTTCAGCCGTCATGGCACTTAGGCCAAATTGTCAAACGTGCCACTTTCGGCCGAAACGTTTCGGCGGCCGAAATTTGTGCATCCCTAAAACACACACGTTTCAATTATATAGCAGTTAAATCACATCAAACTAAACTGACCTCATCTTCACCATTTACCAGACAGAACCTGATGTTGGCGTCAGTTCCCCAAGAACTTTGGTTTTTCCAAACCAACACAGAAGGAGGGCTATGAGCCACGCCCGCATCAGCACTATATATCTACAAAAGGAAGAAAGAAAAAAAGGACACAATTATTGCAGCATTAGAAGAAAGCTGAGGGAAATTAAGTGTCAAGGTTACATGACACAGCAGCACTCATGCCCAGCACAAGCACTGTACTTTCTATAATGGAGGTTTTCAAGCTCGCTATAGTGACGGACTACAATCTCACATTTAGTTTACTAATTTGTATTGAGATTGTAGTCCATCACGGGAGCCAGCTTGGCTCGATAGCTCCAGAAGGAAGGACAGTGTCGGCACCAATTCAGAGATGATTTGGAGGATCTACAGCCGGGTGATACACAAATAGGATACATTTTTGTTAATAGTTCAGGTTCATTATTTCACACTTAATTACTTGTTCCCGCTACTTAATTTGAAAGTTGACCCTAGGCTTACTCTATGAACATCACACAGTCACACACACACACACACACACTTACCCTGGTAAATGCATAGCAAATACATGCATGTCATCCACTTGTCCAGCAATCAGCACTGGAAACTCCTGGCAATTTACCTAGGTTTTTGACAGCTCTAGGGCATAGAGGTGGTGTTTCCCAGCCAGGTTTTGCAATCAAGATGTAGATAGCATGGGGGAGGGAGGACTTCCACTTTAAGTCCCTCTTTACACTTGCTGTGCATGTGAACAAAAAAATAGAGCGCTTTGGCACACATTCGCACAAAGTGGCAAAAATGTGTGAAGTGATTGGAGCTCAAATTGTTGCACGAGCTTCTTTGGCACTTTTGCTGCGCATAGGGAAGCCCATTGTTCCTGCTACTTCATTTGCGACGCGTGGCCACCTTGTAAGTGTGAACAGTGGTCATGACAAATATTTTAACACTTTACCAGGAAAATTAAAGCTGTATTAGCCAAAAGAGTACAAAACACTTCTGTTTCCCACAGATGTGCATACTAAAACTGGTCATATTTTGTATTGGTGCAATGCTACAACTTTACAGCATTGGGAAATTGAAACATTAACCCCAGAGTTAGGCTGTGAGATTTACCTGTACATTCTAGGCGTTTACACCTGAATGTACAAACTGCAGTGTTTCCTTGTCAATGGGTGTGCTACTCATTTAACACTAAATACTACAGTATGGTTTCGTACATTGGAGATGTAACATCTTATAAGCTGAAAAAGGGATCCCTGGAAACTAAGTACTGTGCATCTAAATCCTTATGCTGGAAAAGCTCAAAATACGAATGGTTACAAAACACAAGGTTCTATAGAGGCCCTTCATACGTGTCTAAGAGCAATGCTTCTCCCTTTGCATTATATATAAATTAATTATTCCCACACATCTTACCTTAACAGACTGCTCTGCTTTCAGCACATACTTTGGTGTGAACTTGTATACTATTTCTTCCTGGTCTCCAACTTTCACTTTTAGTCTCCAGCTACCTAGAGGCTGATCCTAGGAGGTACAAGAAAACACCACACATAAGAAAATATTCCTTCATGACCCAAAATGAATTAGATGACACTTAAACTACGCAGTCAGATTGGGAAATACAGTTTGTGATACTGGAACTCTGCCCTAACACAAAGTCTTTTCTATGTATCCTGCCCCAGCACACATCTCACTTCCCAGCGTCCATGCCAGCGCTGAGATTGCCTTTCAGTGCACTGAGCTTTTTAGCCGGTTTTACTTTTGCATTTACTCTGTTTCATTGATCTGAAGATTAAAGGGATGAGTGATGATCTGCGTATGATGTCAGATAAAGCAACATGACAAATTGTTTTTTTTAAAGTGTTCATATTTAACGTAACCATTACCCTAATTAACCCTTTCCCTTGACTTATTTTCGTGCTGATTTTTTAAAGCTTTTTTTGGGTTAATTTTCAGTGTTGCATTAAAAACAAAAAACACCCCACCAAATTGGAAATAAAAAAGTGCCTTTATTTCACTGTAAGTTTGCAATCCTTGGTGCCACAATCATAATTTTAAACCGAAAAAAAAAAATTACATTTAGAGTACAGTTTATTTTTTGTTTAATATATTTTTATGATTATTGTTCACGAAAATACATTTATACATGATACATACAAAAAGGTATTTAACTTCAATTTATCTCTTGAATAGCAATAATTTCACCTGTAACAATTATTAAGCAGCCAAAACCTATAGTCCCTTTTCTCCCCATTTACTTTATATATAACTTCTCTATTCTTATCAATGTGTACTCCTCAAGTATACGATATTGTGATGTCTGAAAATATACCCCATTTTCATTATATTTTTACTTTAATCCTTGTCCTTTCCACCCCCCTCCCTCTAAAACTTGTGTTCCCACTCTTAGTGTATCCTAAACTAAAAATTTGAAAAAAATACCCTTCATTACTAAAACATATGTGTAACTACCTCTTTACCCATTTTGCTTCAACCAAAATATAACCCCGTGTCCTCCCTCCTCCTTCCCCCCCAGGAGACAATCTTTCCTTTCTTAACACTCAAACCGGTCATATGCTATATTATCCAATCATAAGTATCTAAATAGTCATTTTTATATCTTTCTGGAGAGCATTTATTTTCTATTTGGCCATGCATGCATTACCCGTTAATGTAATGTAAGGCAATTATGCAAATTGCCTTACATGCCCAAACCTTGGGGATACATGGAAGAAGGGTTCCATGGAAAGTGAAGTTGCCTGATTAGACCCATCCACTAACACCCAGAGGTGTCTCAGGGGCCTGACAGAGGAACACTACAGAACCTGCCAACCAAGATCCAGAACATAGTTCCAAGCTGTAGAGCCAGGGGCGCAAACCTTAGCTGAACAGCTAAAACTTTTAACCTGATTGAGGGCAGAACCTAGATTGGGACCTGGAGGAACTTTCTCAAGAGGCTGGGAATCAGCCACAGAAGGATGACATATATCCAAGCTGATCAGGTCCCATAAAGGCCTCCGTACATATTCTATCCTGCAACAGGAACCAAGCATGTGCCGTCTGCTGAGAATCCAGAGGATTACTGGGCCTTCCAGCAAGGGCTTCTTCTTGCTATGAAGGAGATTAGGCACACCCAGGCGCGCAAACCTCTCCCTCCAGGGCGAAGACTACTGGTTTACTGAAAGCCAGATGTCAAAGCATCATCTCTAGAGAAGATAGTGCGGTCATGCATTGTTTAGTATAGGGTAATAAAGCCATTTATCCAGTCACAGGGAGAACTTCCAAACCTTCCCGGAGGTGAAGGTTTCACAATACCTATGCAATGCCGAATTAAGTACAGATCAAGAAATTGATTCACAGTGGGATCCCTTGGCAAAGCGGGAAACAACTGTTCTGTGTAATCAGACATGGGAACACTCCTGCAAGTGGGAGACAAACTTCCCAATAGAACAGGAACAGAGTGTCCCAGACAGGAAGGAATAAAGGAAGACCCTGGAAGAAACACTTCAACAGGCAGTAGCACAAGAAAAAATGTTGAAGAGCAGCTGAAGGAAATGGCAGACACAGTGAGCTAATCTGTGATTAAAAAGGGGTATCCTGAGCACCCAAAAGCCAGGAAGGTAAACTACCTGGGACCTACCTGCATGCATCTCTGCCCACCACTTTAAGTGGAGATGTGTCTTCATGAATGATTATCAAAGGAGTTAGCGGACCTCTGGCTTAGAGCCCTGCGGGCTGCGTGGCAATTGGGCTCTGGGGTCCTACAGGTATCTGCTGTCAAAAGTACATAAAAAGCAGGCTTCCTCTGAACACACCAACACCACCAATAACCAACACCACAGCCACCCTATACCTGATGTTTGTTGGTTACCTCACACAACTGTGTGCGAGGTTAAGAAAAAAAAAAAAAAAAAGAATTACCTTATCGGAGCTGTTCTTCAGGTGAATAAAGTTTCCTTCGTTGCCACATTCCTCTATAGAGACACTGCCAGTTGCAGACGATTGCTGTGATACATGGTATTTGCTGCTTCCTCTATCACCAGCATCCTCCCCTTCAGCAGCAGTGCTAGTCTCACGAGAGGAGTGCCTGGCCCAACTGCTTGAAGACTGGATAGTGTCACCTTCCACACGTTCATCAACGCGTTTTCGTTTGCTACGAGACTGGCGGACAGCAGAGGAGCTGCTGCTTGAGGTGGCCCTTGACACTGTAACACGGGATTGTGGACTTGGTGACAGTTTTAGCCTAAATAATATATATATAAAAAAAATAAAAAAAAAGTCATCTGAAGCAACAAATGAATGTGTTCATACTCTCAGCACATTTTGGAAGCAAGATTTCAATTTACATAAAATCAAGGAGAGATTTTTCTCACCTTCCCACATTTAAAAATACAAGGGGACTCACCTCTCCTCTTCTCCCTCTAGCAGCTTGCGGTAAGCACTAATCTCCATGTCCAGAGCATATTTAACATCTAGTAGTTCCTGATATTCTGTCAGTTGTTGCTGTATATGGTCCCTCATTGCAGCTATCTCTTTCTCTTTACCATCCAGCATTTTTCGGTACTTCTCACGATCACTGGACAACAATTGCTCCAGTTCACGGGTACGATCCTCTGCTGCATTGAACTGTAATCAATCCACTCCGTTAGCAGTGGTAGCATACACCTCACATTAACGTTCTTTATTTCAACACAAATCGCAAGAAGCACTGTGAATAGTTTAAAGGAAAAACATTTTACAGAGTACTTCTCAGTGTGATGTACCTGCTTCTGAAGACCAGACAGCTGGTAGCCTAGTGTCTCAATTCTCATTCGCGCTTCCATCAGCTCCTCATGGGCAGCCTCAGCAGCTTGATCAGTATGGTCAGAGGAACGCTTGATATTATCCAACTGCAATGAACAAAGAATAACTAAATAAATGAAAACCCCTAAAAATCTGTGCGTAATCTAAATCAAATTATAACTTTACAGAGACCGTTTCAGAAAAAAAAACCCACAAAAAAAAACACAAAATAAAAAGGGTAAAGCCATAAATTAAGGTCTTCAACAGTTATATGAGGATATGTTCCTCTCCATAATTCTGAATTCACAGGATATAGGTTTATAGCCATTCCCCATTAAAGAGAAATCCTGCTTACCATCTTTGCTACTAATCTGGCAAGTCAAGATGATCCAGTTATTTACAAGCTACTAGCTCTGAACAAGTACAGAGATGCAAAATTCTGATATGCAATTCAGAAGTATTCAAGCCAGATATAGCCCTTCATCTTGTCTTTATAGGGAGCAAGTAAAATCAACCACCATATTTCTTTCACAATAGGAATTTCATTTCTGACTGGGCTTCAGCAGTTCAACAATCAAGCATGCACATCTCTATATTGACTTGTCATTAGTCACAATATGCTATGTCAGTGATTAGTGACAGCCAGCTTGTGTTTAAGGACTTCTGAAATTAGTTTTTCAAAATCAATACACATTGGCAGACAAACAGGAAGGAACACAGACAAAAGGCATGCTGAGAACAAGTGTTCGACAATGAGGTTTTGGCCTTGACAACCAGATATTGGACAGCAGGCATATGGCTGATCGCAAGCAACATTACCTTCCTTAAATATGCCCTAGACAGACATACAAGAAAACAACATTCACTGAATGACCCAGATGGCTTTTTACTGTTACAAAACAATCATAGTTCAAATCACATTACCTTAGCTTGATAGGTCAGCTCCAGCTCTTCTTTGTAGAGCTTGACTTGCTCATCGTGCTGTTTCCTGAGCTCATCTAGAGCTTGTGCCAGTTTGGACTCGTAGTCATATTTGCCGCCCTTATCCACTTCTACTAAGCTACGCTTATGACGGTTCCTGGTTTCTCGGAATTCCTGGAACCAACCATGAGAAAAAAACATTTTTCATATAGAGTTTTAAACAGGCAAAGCCACCTCCCTCTCACCTACTGCATGGAAATTGCTTCACCTCTTCATATATGTTCTTTCTGAACTCAAGCTCTTCCTGCAGACTCTGGCAGCGGTTCTCCATATCAACACGCATCAAAGTCTCCTTTTCCAACTGGTTCTTGGCAACAGCATGACCATCTTCTGCCTAGAAAAACACATGGGCACAGACAATTCTCAACTTGAAGTCATCACTAAAATCACTAGATAGCTACCTAGCTCCTCAAAAGAAATCAGCTAAATGTAGCAACACTACCTGTTTGGTTTTAAAAAACTGCAGTTTGGGAGTAATCTGCTATTCATGGGTACATGGAGGAAGCCATATTTACTCACCAAGTACTCAGGCTCCACTTCTGGCTTTGCAATACTGCAGAATGGTTGTACTTTACTGCTCCTTCTCACACTCCAAGTTAGCTGACCCATTACAAAATATAAGATATTGGCTGATATTGACAGGTTGTACAAGATCAGTAAAAGGTGGCCATACACCTTACAACCATTGTACAACTTTCTTTGTCCAGACATCTCACCCTTGTTCAATTTTCTTAAAACTAGCCCATCATGCACAGACCAATGTAGTTTTCAATTAACGCTACTCAGCACCACCACCTGGCTGATTTTCATCGATCGAAAGGACAGATTTTTGTTTGAGCATGTGCAGTTTTCTTCCTGAGATTTTTGTTGTACAACAATGCCACTAACCTGTCAATTTTCATCCAATTAGACAAAAGTTTTCTAGGCTGCTTGAAAGACAAAATCTGCCAGTTGTACAGTAATTGAGGTTGTGCACTTCCCATCAACTGGCAGATTTTCTGATGAAAACGCAAGACAAAAATCTTCAGATAATTGTAAGGTGTATTGGCACATTAGAGCAGAGAGGCAGAGCTACTGCAGCTGGTAAAATTAGCTGCTTCTAGTAGCTAAAAACTGTATATTTTATAGAAAAATAAATTGGGAAAAGAAATATCAAAAATTACTTTAAAAATGTAGACCCTGCAATCATTCAAAATATACTATACAATGATCGTTCGATTGATTTTGTAAATCTTAAAATATAGCACCAAAAAACTAAATAAAAACGGTTATGGATAACAGATCTCAATAGTCTCCATAAGACCTTAGCGTCTCTTGATGTGCACAACACCTACACAAACCAACGAAATACCTTAGCAAGTTGAGCACGCAAATCAGCCACTTCGGTCTCCAGCTTCCGCTTCTCCTCTATGGTGGCCGTAAGCTCTGCCTCACTTCTGAAATGCAAGGCCTCCAGTTCCCTATTGCGATGTTGTGAATTAACCAGGTCAGCATCCTTTTTCTTAAAACTGGAAAAAAAATAAAAAATGAAAATGAAATGTAAAATGCAGTAACTGGGTACAGGAAAAAAAAAAATGTTTGTTTACATCACTGGAAACGCCAGTCAAAGCAAAGGAGATAAAACTGAGCTCGCTGAACAAAAAATGATAGAATAGAAAACCTTAAGACAGCAGGCAAAGTAGAATTTAGATTCAGACATTCAGAAAATCCATATAGTTTCCAATTTAGTCTGTTCCTACTAATAGGTAGGGACCAAAAGGCTTGCACGTTGTATTGAGTGTCCTGAGTTGTGTTTTTTTCCCCAGAAGTCAATTCAAATGAAGTTCATCACACTGACTGGTAGCAAAGTTTTCATAGAATACTGGAGTTTTAAATGAATCACGTAAGCAGCATTTTTCCCCGGTTGGCTAGGCTTTTGTATGCTGAGGAGGGAGGAAGGACTACAAAGGCAAATGTTTTACCAGTGTTCATTTCATTGACTAATAATTTTTATCATAGTCTTCGGGTAAGCAGGGCTAAATGAACAGTGGGGAGCCGCTGCACGTTTAATACAAGTGATCTGAACAGATCATTTGTACCAGCCTGATTGTCTGTCCCCTTCCTCCCCACCATGGTTTTCAGGGTCCCCAGCAAATGAGCTCAGGATAGAGAGCGGGGAGCAGAGCAAAAAAAACAAAAAAAAATAAAAAAGGAGTGTTTGTATATATTCTATAAACACACACACTTTGAGATACATTAATAGTTTGCCCTGAATATAGTACAGGGGTGTGGAAATAAAAAAAACAAAAAACGACTTGTCCAAGGGCTAAAGTGGGGGCCGAATTTACTTGTCCTTCATGGCAATCTACTTGTCCCAATACAAAAAAATAGTTTATCAAAACTAAGGATGCACCAATACCGTTTTTTCTGTATCGAGTACGAGTACCGATTTTATGCTTTTGGATCTCGCCGACACTGAATACGAATACCGGTGCTTCCGCTGGCATAGAGCAGGCTTTCCTGGAAATCAGAAAGCCGGGCAGTGGGTAATGACATCCCGCCCGATTTCCTGATTGCCACGGAATCCGGCTCCATGTTGTTTGGCCTGCTTGATTGTGATTGGCCAGGAAACCTGCTTCCCAGTCAAATCAGGAAGCCGGGTGGCGAGTAATGACCTGATTGACCGGGAAAATGGCTCGATGCTGATTGGCCAGGAAGCCGGCTTTCCAGCCAATCAGAAAACCAGGAGGCGGGTCATTACTTGCCGCACGGCTTCCTGATTGCACAAGAAGCTGGCTCCATGTTCCCTGCCAGTCAGAGGAAATTTTCATCTGGCCATAAGTTCCAAAATCGGAGAAGGTATCGGAGCATTTGGGTGAGTACGAGTACTCGCCCAAATACTCTGTATCGCACTGTTACTAGGATCGGTGCACCCCTAATCAAAACATATTTGACTGTGCTAAATAGCGCTTCTCACTGGTCAGCGCAGTCATCTGACCACGTTGACCAGTGAGTGCTTGCAATTTGCGAGCGAAATTCAAAATGCATAGGGGAGGACTGCACTGGACAGCAGTACGGGGCACAGATAGTACACCCATACTGGCGGAGGGGAGGGATTGTTCGCCGAAAGGCAAGTATAGCCAGGGGGGGTGGTTTGGGAGAGACTGGGCCAGATTTCATCGGGTAATTTTTATTTTTCCATATTACCTGGGAAAATGAAGTGTGTGTGTGTGTGTGTGGTGAAGAATTCTGGCTACCACCATGGAATGGCGTCTGCAATCTCAAAGCACATGCAGAATGTCCTATGCATGCGTTTATTTGCATGCAGATGGCAGGGGCAGCAGGCTTTCATTTTTTTATTTTTCATTTTTTAAATCTTTATATGTTTTTAACTTTTAAAAAGGTTACATATTTATTTACTTTTTCCACTTAATGTTCTTCCTATCGCATAGGGGATTAAGATCCCTTATGTGATAGATTAGAGGTGGCAGGTTCTCTTTATGGAACCTGCCCTCCAACACAGAACAGCTGTTCTGTGTAGTTCCTGACAGCCGAGACAGGTGGCGCTGCGATTACAGCACCACGGTCTCAGAGAACACACAGAGAGCCCGTAGAGCAGACGTTCTTAGTCTGCTCTAAGGCTGAGCGGTAGTTTTCAGGCTCCCCCAGGAGAGCGGACGACCCCGAAAACTACGGCAGGGGGTGCGGGCAGAAATGATCGCCGCTGCTCAAATTGATACTAGTAAACGAGCGGCGGCTCCACAATGTACATTCAGCTTTGCTTGTCCGCAACTGGGCTAAATGTACATAAAAACTCGCCCGGTGCCCGAAACTGCATGTCCCGGGTGTCGGGCGATAGGAATTCCACACCCCTGTAGTAAATAGAAAAGATTCCAAAACACTGTACGTTCCCTTTATAGTAGGGCCGTGTTTACAATGAACACACACCCCCCAATACTTTGCGATTGTTTCTCACACAGCCCTTGGCATGCAAAAATCAGCTTTACGACAGTGGTGAGCCCTTTAAGCAAATTACAGTTCCTGAAAGACCTACTGAAAGGAACATTAAAATCCTTATAAAAAAAAGGAGTATATACACTTATTTGAATACAAAGCAGCTTATTTGTCAATTGCTTTCTACAACAGAATATTGGGTACAGATGCATCCTCACACTTTTTTTTGCTTTTTGGATTAAGTTTGTTTTTTACAATATGATATGCCTTTTTTTCCTCTATGTTCTACCTCAAAAGGCATGTTACACAACTGCTAAAAGTTGTAGAATGTAATAGGCTTGATTTAGAATACAGAGTGCTTCCATCTACATATACAAACTTTTTAGCAATTATTCTTGTCAACATTACCAGTTGTTTCTTCATCAAGTTTGTGGGAGAATTCTTTTCAGTGTGCAAACAAAAAGCTGCTTTTGTGGCCTCCACTTGCTGCTGCGTGCCATCTAACAGCTGCAAGAACTTGCTTCCATTAACTGAGGATCAGCATTTATTAGCAGCTATGTGTAGGTATAGTACATGGGCATGACCAGTTGTCAAATTAAAATCAGTATGGCATCAGACAGCCCACTCCAACACAATCTGACACTATGCTGGCAGATTACAAAAAAATAAAGCTAATCTCCAGGGAAACAGCTAAATAGACAGATTAAGTACATACATGGGAGATGCTTCTTCTGCCCAAGGAATTCAGGTCCCCCGCCCCACCCTTTTATGCCCTGTTCACGTGATTTTCAGGTCCTGATCAGGTGCGGATTAGCAGACGCGGTGCTACTCATGCAGAGCGTTTGAGCCGTGGGGCTGTCAGTATGCATATTCTTCCTCTGAGCTCACTTCTGCTACAGCAATCTGCAGAGAACGAGCTTGCAGGAGACGTCGGTATTGGGTACACCCAATCTTGAGGCTCCAGGACTCCAAGGGTCAGTTCTGGAGTTTATATAAGGATTTGCGAGCTCACCCGGATACATTTTTTTCCTTTACTCGTATGTCCATGGGAAGGTAGTGGGCATGTTCAAAATGTCTGTCTATCTCCCACTTTGACTGCCTTTAGGCGATCCCTAGACTCAGCTTTTCAGGGAAGCCTATTCCACCTCAACCTTTTTTGCTTAGCTGCATTGTGTTCCGTTTTCGTTGCGTTCGAGCGTTTCCTGACTGGACAAAATGTGACATGCGGTATTTTTTCAGTCAGGAACGGACTGCACACATGAGAACTGTAGCCCATAAAACACATAGGGATGCATATTTAGTGCAGGAGTGTACGGATCAGGTCAGCACAGAATACGGACGTCGTGTGAACAGGCCCTAACATTACAGTGAAAAGAGAAGCAGAACGATGAGTTCATCTCTCGTTCACTGTGCTCTCTCCTCTAACAGCATACTCCCTGCATTACTGTCCAGCAGATTGGCTCCTTGTGCCGATTCTCCCTCCCTGCCTTTATCTGCCCAGTGTTCAGCTTTAACCCCTTCATGACTGAGGCCTTTTTTTAATTTTTTGTACCCATGTTATATTCCACATTTTAGGCCTGAAAATTACTTATAACCCCCCAACATTATATATTTTCTGAATGCCAAGACCCTATAGAATAAAATGGTGCTGGGCTCCAGGAGCCCAGAACTGACAGCCCAGGGACCGGAAGTGATGCAATCTGCATCGCTCCCGGTACCATAGAACGCGGAGGGGGATCGATGAACGGAAGTTCGACCTCCTCCCCAGCTCCCCGCGGACACCAAGATCGCCGGTCCCGGGCCCGTAGGAGGGGCAACGGAGCCCGGGAAGCGCGGCGGGGGTGTCCGGCCCCTTCTTCGGGACGCAGAAGCGATCTGGCGACAGGTAAGTCGCCAGGATCGCTTCTGTTGTAAAGCCGACAGTCGGCTCTACAAGTTTAAACAGAGTCCCGGCGGCAAAAGTCACTGGGAGTCTGTTTAAACAGCCCCGATGCTGGCGATGTATGACGTAGTGGTGGGGCAGTAGGGATGGGACTTCGTGGCAAGTTTGAAAACAGGATGTCTTGCGGCACTCCTAACCCATACATAATGACATCCAGTGATGTCATTATGTATGGGAGTGGTTTATTGTTTTTTCCCTCACTGTTTGATGCCTATATAAGGTTGATGTATCTGTTATTGAAGTGTCATTCTGAGCCTGATGAAGGGGACCCCCTGCGGCCCCGAAAGCGCTTGTGTATTGGATGGCAATGTGCCATTAAAATGGATCATTGACTAACAAAAACTGGTGTGCTGGTGACATTATTCCTTTATTCTGTGATTCACACGGTGCCTTCCGTGGTCACTACAAGCACCCACCCAGCTTGGGGTTACTCTGGTTAGGAGTGCAGCAAGACATCCTGTTTTTGAAGTTTATTTGGCGAATCTTGCGTTGCACCCCCATTTCATCTTTATCCTACCGTGCCTTTGAGCACCATCATCTACCTTTGACATTTGTTGCTCAGATCACGCAGTTACAACTTGTAACATTCTTTTATTGCTCATGGATCTAGCCGGTAACACCAATCCAGGAACCCAAAGCGTTCTTGCATTTACTGCGGACGAAGTGGAGGCGATTCTTTTTCCAACAGATGTTGATAAGGCGTTTGGCACAGACACAGCTACTGATCTAAGTAGAGAAATCAAACGTCTCAAGAAGAAGAAGATCGACCTGGAATTACATGGACAGACACTCTCGGAGTACTATAGAGCACGTAAGATACCGAAAGGTTTCAGGATTACTAACCAACCCACGATTGGAAGGAATAAAAGGTCGATGGAACGCAAGCCGGAAGTTCCACTGCGCTCCTTATTACTGACATGCGCACCAGAGATGGGCGGTGCTGGCAGGCCGCAATTGCGTCCTATTGCCTTGGCAACCATCCGCTACGGCCGACCAACGGCCCGGTTTTCTCCCTGCGCCTCGGTACAGCTGCAATGCTTAAGGTTGGTGGTGGTTTTCGAATTTTTGAATCTATTGTGGCGGGAATGGATCCAGTGATGTCATTATGTATGGGAGTGGTTTATTGTTTTTTCCCCTCACTGTTTGATGCCTATATAAGGTTGATGTATCTGTTATTGAAGTGTCATTCTGAGCCTGATGAAGGGGACCCCCTGCGGCCCCGAAAGCGCTTGTGTATTGGATGGCAATGTGCCATTAAAATGGATCATTGACTAACAAAAACTGGTGTGCTGGTGACATTATTCCTTTATTCGTGGCAAGTTTGGACACTGAAGTGTCAAAGCTTTAGTGTGAATGGGGGTTAGGTCACCCCGTCAGGCTTTTCAATTACCTGACAGAAGTACATCTTTCATTGGATCTATTGTGAAAATATCATGGCTTTAGTTTGTGTCTTTGCACCTGCTGTGTGCCATTATAAAGGGCTTCCCATTCTCCCCATTGCATTTTCAAGTTTATAGTATGGAGAACACAACACTAGCTATTGTAACAATTCCCAGGTAGAAACACAGTCCACCTTTTTTCTTTTAAGTGGACTGGTCCTATAATCAAATTTTGCATAGTACTCTGGGCCTTCCAGAGACCAGCAGTAGAAGCTTTCTTATGGACTATCTCTTGGTAACCGAATCCCCATAAGCCCAGATGAGCAAAGCATACAGGGAAAGGGAGGGTTTGAGCCTCTTACCATTCAGCTGTGTCTGCAACCTGAACCTCAACTATTCAGACTTGAAAACTGGTACTTTAAGCTAGGGCTGAACAATTCCAGAGCACAAAGATCACAAAGGCAACGGGAAAAAAAAAAGAAAAAAACTCTGGCAACCAGGTTATTGAGAGAGACTGAACCAAGTCCCGCTGGCATTTGTGAATGCCGAACTTGGCTCAGTCTGAGGAATACATGGAGACAACTGGAGAGCTACTTGCTAGCTAGAAAGTACATAAGTATACATATGCAATTTTTCATATTTATCCAACTGAAGAAATGGAGATTGTGACAGAAGCCTCCGCTACTTTGCTATTTGGAGGGGACTGCAGGCCTGCCTTCTTCTCACTGACTATAGGCCTTGGCTGTGGAGGGAGTTTGATTGGGAGAGGGGCTTGCCATGGTGCTTTGGGCTGTGTGGGACCCTTCATTTGTGCTCCATGGATCAAGAGGACCACAGGAGATCTATTTCCCAATTATGTGGGGATACATGGGGAGCGGAGATTGTGTTTTCCTATACCCCAGTATCCTGTCCTGGATCAGACCCTGGACTTGGACTTGACTAAAAGACAAGTTAAATGGAAGTCTATTTGTCCGATTGAGTTAACAAGTCACTAGATGTACCCAAATACATTACCATATCATAGACACTCAGGAGATAATCCCATCATATCCATCTCCTCTCTTTCCCTATTCTTTCATTAAGACACGGGGAGGGGATGTTTGATTGCGTTATGTTTTTAGACTTCCAGAACTGTATATATACTGAGCTGGTTTTCAATTCAACATTGGTGTTGACTGATGTTTGAGGAGCTCAGTTTTCTGTCCTAATATATTTGTTCCGTCCAATAATTAGGCAGGCTTGGGCTGAGGACACTGGAAGTCGAGTTCCCGCGGAGAGGAAGCTGATTGCTGACAGAGGTACCCGGCAGTCAGTTTTTTTTTGGAGAAATTTTTTAAATGCTATGCATTCCATTTTCAGCCACAAGATAACAGTGCGATCAGGGGTGGATAGCCTAATATAGAATTCAGGACCCAGAGGGATTTTAGTTATATTTTAAGAGGCAGCTTTATTGCCAACTAAAAGATAGTCAGGAGCTACCTGGCTCCTGGGATTTGTTCAGCCCTGAGTGAAACCAGATTCCAGTGAGAGAACTTTTCCTTACCTACAATCTGGTGATTACTTTAGAGGAAAAAAAGGACATACCTTTCCCAGACTTATCATGGAACCTAAACAGTTATCGGACAGGAAATTCCAACCCAGCCATACTCAGTTTGCCTGAAGGTGTCTACAGAGGCTGTCTAGTGCCCATTCGGCCAGTTCAGACAATAACGATAATATTTACAAGCACCTTTAAACAGGCTGCAGACCAAAAAAATAAAACAACACACTGATGCCCTAGCTAACACGACTAATGTGCCTAAAAACTGAACAAGCTATTCATAAAAGGACACAAAAATCTAACAAATCTCACCATCCCAAGATATAAAAAACAAACCCAAAAAACTCAACTAGTTTTAACACTGCCATCATTTACCAGAAACAGAAATATCATCTTGGGGTGGTACCCTAAAAATTCAGGATCCAGTCACCTTCATGACTAGTAGTACCTCGAAAAAAGCCCAACACACTTTTTTTTTTAAATCACAATCAAGCAGCATGTTCAGACAACGGTGGATAAACTGTCCAACCACGCTGCTTAACCATGTGAAGACCAGGTGTTTACACCCCCCTTCCTGTCCAGGCCATTTTTCAGTATTCAGCCCTGCAGTACTTTGACATTTATTCCGTCATGCAGCGCTGTAGTGAAATTAATTTTATACCATTTTTTGGGTGGGGACAGATAGAGCTTTCTTTTGGTGGTATTTAATCACCACTGGGAGTTTTATTTCTTACTACAGTAAGGAAAAATTACAGAAAACAAAAACGTTTCCCGATATTAAATTATAAAACATTACCCAATTTGGTAAAATATAAAAGACGGGGTCATGTCAGGTAAAAAAGTGTGTCAGTTTTTCTGCAGAAAAAGTGTATCCAAACCTCGGTTTTTAACCTAAGTGTGAGACAAGTTGTTTTACATGCTAGCTTGTGAGTGTGCCAGGAAAAATGTTTTGCTATTTTAATGTCAGGTAAAAAGACACCAAACATGTCAAATCTTAAAATTGCACATGCCCGCGAAACATCAAAAAACGACAATACCCAAAATTGGCTATAGGCGACGCTTTAAAAGCTTTTACCGCTCATAAGTTTATTGTTATCAGTGATTGATGGCCCGAAAATGATTGCTCTCACTGCAACGTTCGTGGCGATATGCAAGATTTGTAGCGCAATTGTCGTTTTCGTGCAACTGACGCGTATTTACGTTTATACGTGCGTAAAACCTTTTTTTTTTTACATTTAATGTTATTGCTATCACATAGGGGGCTAACAATCCCCCCTATGCGATAGCACAGGTACACTGACAGGTTCTCTTTATGGAGACATTAGGGGGTCTCTAAATCCCCTGTCACCTGGGGACCCCCAAAGAAACAGATCTTTTTTCTTCTGCCAAGGGGAGCTTGCGCGAGCAGAAAAAAAAAAGCTGTTTATTTACGGCAACCCGCCAATGGGACTTTGCCGTCCGTCAGTTTTTTCACAATGGGCGGACGGCAAGCAGTTAACAATGGCAAGAAGTGTATGAATAGCACTTGGTCCCCTGGCGGTAAAAAAAAAACGGTACAAGAGGATGAGACAATGAATGAGATTTCTTTAAAAGAACAACACTTACTTTTTGGTTAGCTCATCAAAGTCAGAACGATACTTCCCGAGCTCTATCTGCAGCTTAGCCCTGTGTTTCGCCGTCTCATCCAGAACTTTTCGAGCATCAGCAAGCTCAGACTCATAAAGATCTTTGATTACACTGACCTAGAATTCCAAAAGTTGGAAAAAGTGTTATGTAGTAAAGTAGTACACAGAAATGTGCACATATATTATCTACTCTTGTTATATGTACCAAGAGTGTGCTTTACACCAAAAGAGCAATAGAAGCACTCTACCACTTAGGCAATCTTTACTGGAATATGTAAACCAAATCACCCCACCTCACCCAAAGGTTGTCAGCCTTGTAACATTAAAATGGGGGAAAAAAGGAAACTACATACATTTTTCTAAAGCAGAAGACCTGCAGTATTAATAGAGGTTATTTGCAAACAATGAATTCAGGTTTTTTTTTAAAGATGACTGTTGCATACCAAAATTAACAAGCTAAAACATTGTGGCAAAATAAAACTATGATACTCAAATTATGTATATACAGTATAGGCTACGCATAGCCACCAGCTATAGATGACTACAAATCCCAGCAATATATTATACAGCAATGCAGAATACCACATAGCTACATACTCTGTGCTGCTCTGGGGTGCCAGCCTGATGTCTCCAGCGGAAGATCTCACGAGGGCTGTGCGGGGTCTCACTAGGGGTTCTACTGGTCTCGTGGGCCGCATAGGTTTCCAGAAAGAGAAGTGTGGCCGACTCTGTAAACAGGTGCTGCGATTACTGTGAACCGTGGCGCCGGTTTAAAATGCTGGCTGCAGTTTAAAAATGTAAAGTGCCGGTATCTGCGTTTAGTATGGGAGCATTTTCATGACTAAAGGTGGCCATACACCTATAGATTATCTGCAGATTTTCTATGGTCAGATGGAAAAAGTGCAACAGATTCCTCCATCTACGCTAAACTGTGTGGATGGAGGAATCTCCCGCTGGGCCAAGCTTCAGTATCTTGCTAGTCAGCCCCTCTGGCTCTCAAAATACCTGAACAATGTTCAGGTATTTCGAGAGCCAGTGTACACATAAAAATGCTCAGTATCAATGTATCCCTACAAATAAGTAAACTAAACGCGAGAATGTAGTCCATCATGTGAGTGGTGTCTACTTTACAACGCACACAGGGATCATGGGGAGAAAAAGTAGCCCCCCTCCAGAAGGAAGGACAGTGTCAGCACTCATTCAGGTATGAGTTGAGGCTCTACAGCCGAGTGATTTACAAATAAGATACTTTTTGTTAATGGTTAGGGTTGTGAATGCAATTTTTAAGAGTTTAGCATTACTAATACAAAATAAAAAAAATGTAGGTCCTTTTTTTGTTGTATACTTGCAAAACCCCAGCACAGATGGCACAAGTGAGGTGGTCTAAATGGACCAACAAGAGTTTTACAGATTGGCCTTTAATATGTTCTAACAAGGTATTCTGGCTGAATTGACTTAAACATGAAAGCAGACAGATGACTGGTGTTAAATCCCACCAGACAATGCCCCACAGAAGTGACTGTCAAAAAGAACAAAGACCCAAGCATCAAGCCCCAGCACATCAGTGTCATCTCCTTTTAAGCTGGAGAGCTGCGAGAATAAATATACCAGAAAACAATACACCATCACCAGCCTCCAGAGCAGACACCTGCTTTGTTATGACCAGTAAAGCCTGTCAAAGTACAAACACTTTCACAAATCAGCCATTTTGCAGTCTAATGGTTTATGCAAAGGAAGAGAATCTTTACACAATTAACTGTGAAAAATCACTGCAATTATCCAACCAGGTGACAATCAATGTCCTGTTTCAGCTGGCCATGAACCCAGTAGTGTTTCATCTAAACACAATTCATAGGGATATACCGTTGTGCCATCATTGAGACAATTTCTTTCGAAAGCCCTTACAAAATGTTCATCCAGATCTGCTACTGGGATGGAATCCCAGATGTACTAAACTAGTTCCCTTTGTGCCTAGCACATGTGCATTACAGTAAGATTTTTCAGAATCGGAAATCACTGACAATTTCATGTTAAGAAAAATCCTGAAAATCCAATTTTTTCATCCATACAGCCAAAAATGATGAGTGATTTGTTCCCATTAGAAAATCAAATGAACACTCCAAAGTCAAATTTTCAGAGCAAAGCAGTGCTGTGAACTGACTTGACTGGTCTATGCCTTGGGACGGTAGTGGGCTAGGCTGGTGTGAACAGTCACCTCCATTTAGACTCTGGATTAGAAATTTCCAAAGACTAAAGGCCGTGACACACTGCACGCGAAGCAGCGGCGCGCTGCCTTTGCGAGCAGTGTGTCATGTCACTTTCTTCTCGGCACCTCAGTTTGCGAGAGCCCGCAGAGCTGAGCGTGCCGAGATGAACAATTTCAACTTCAGCCAATCGGCTCGCGCGTATAAACCGGCGCGACGGGATGCGACGTCTGGCCGGTTGTTACAGACGAGCCGATTGGCTGAAGGTGCAGTCAATCATCTGACTGCACTCAGCTCACACACTGCACGCGAAGCTCCGTGCCGGAGAGCTTTGCTTCGCTCTGCACGGCTTCACGTGCAGTGTGTCACGGCTGCACGCGAAGCCGTGCAGAGCGAAGCAAATTTATCCGACATGGAGCTTTGCGTGCAGTGTGTGAGTTGAGTGCAGTCAGATGATTGACTGCACCTTCAGCCAATCGGTTTGTGCTTAACAACCGGCCAGACGGTGCATCCGGTCGCACAGGTTTACGCGCGAGCCGATTGGCTGAAGTTGAAATTGTTCATCTCGGCACGCTCAGCTCCGCGAGCTCTCCTTAGCTGAGGTGCCCAGGAGAAAAAGACACGACACACTGCTCGCAAAGGCAGCGCGCCACCGCTCCGCGCTGCTTCGTCTGCAGTGTGTCATGGCCTTAAGAGTTCACTTCAGCCCGTGACACACAGCATGCAAAGCCGTGCAGAGCGAAGCAAACCTGTCAGGCATGGAGCTTTGCATGCAGTGTGTGAGCGGAATGCAGCCAGATGATTGATGCGTAACAACCTTATGGCGTTCGCATCGTGGCGCGCGGGTTTATACGTGCGAGCCGATTGGCCAAACATTTTTCATCTTGGCACGCTAAGCTATGCGAGCTCTCGCAAGCTCACGTGCCGGGGAGAAAATTACATGACACTGCACGCGAGGGCAGCACGCCCACACTCCACGCTGCTTCGCATGCAGTGCGTCACAGCCTTCAGTTGTTGGAGTGACATTGGGATAGCTTACACTTATATACACTATATTGCCAAAAGTACGACACCCGCCCAAATCATTGGATTGAGGTGTTCTAATAACCTCCATGGCCATGGGTGTATAAAATCACGCACCTGGGCATGCAGACTGAGCCCTACGGACTAAAAGGTGCCATACATCTAACGAGTATCGGACGATTTTCGTTTGCGATCGCCTTTTCGTCCAATATTCGCAATGTTGATGGGCAGTGTACCAGCGCAAATACAGTACAAGCGTACGACTTGACTTTCCAGCAGGTTAGCAAACTTGTCGAATCGTATGAAATTCGCAAGGCTGGTGGCGTTTTCATACGTAAAAAAAAAAAAAAAAACAATAATGGACGATTAACACTGCTCATACGCAAACGAAAATCAGTTCTGTCAATTAACGAAATTCGGCCAGGTTATTTTGCCAACGACCGCTAATGGAACTGTGCGATGGTTGGTGCATAATAGGGCCGCCGTACGAAAATCGTACAACGGTCCGATCATCGGATGGAAATATTCGTCCGATGCAAGATGTATGGGCACCATAAGACAGGGATGCCATTAAAGTTCATGTGCGTGTAAAGGCAGGCGTCCCATTACTTTAGGCAATATAGAGTGTGTGAGTTTGAGTGTAAACCACCTTCATCCCTTTGTGTACATTTTTTTAACCCTTCATTTCTTTTCTACTGGGTTATGCTCACTGAACATAAGTCACGTGTCCAGTGAACCCAGCAGTGCTCTGCAATACCCCCACCCTACTGACCCGATACCACACTGCCATCTTCCTTTCCTAGGTCATCAGGAGCCAGTTGACTCTTCCAGCTCCCCCATAATACGCTGTGTGTGGCACTTCTGTTGTAGATTGTCCCGGGGTCTTAGGATGTGTGCTGTAAGTATCCCAGGAGGCTGTGTCATCCTTGCCCATATGGTAAAGGCTAAAAGATGCACCGAAATATATTGGCCGAAAATTGCACTTTTGTCAGAAATTGCGGTGCATGCCTGGTTTCTCTCGTCCCCGCAGCGAGCAGGAAAATGTCACAGGTGACCGAGCGGTGCGAGTGGCCAGTGTGTCACAAGAGGCCAAGCTCTTCTCCCGCACCGCCTCCTTTGACAGATCAGGAGAGCGGTGTGTAGGCAGCGACAGCTGTAAGTGCTGTCACAGGAGGCTGAGCTCTTCTCCCGCACCGCCTCCTTTGACAGATCAGGAGAGCGGTGTGTAGGCAGTGACAGCTGTAAGCGCTGTCACAAGAGGCCAAGCTCTCCTCCCACTCAGCCTCCAGTGACAGATCAGGAGAGCGGTGTGTAGGCAGTGACAGCTGTAAGCGCTGTCACGGGAGGCTGAGCTCTCCTCCCGCACCGCCTCCTGTGACAGATTAGGAGAGTGGTGGTGTAGGGGCAGAGACAGCTGTCAGCTATCACAGGAGGCTGGGAGGAATCAGCTGTCACAGGAGACCAATCTCTCCTCCCCGCTCCGCAGTAAAAAAAAAAAAAAAAGTAGGGCATGCTCTACTTTTCCAGCACATCGCAACACATTGGAATGGTGGGAACCGCCATACATTTTTCGGGTTACCTTCCGTTAGCATCCATTGCAAAACTGAACACAGCGGATCTGGTGTGATTAGGGCCTCTGGTGTGATAACGGTTAAAACAGGACAAAGAGAGAGGCTGAAGCATCATAAAAGAGACGTAGACAGCAATGAAAACCTGGCAGGTGTTCTAACACTTCTTTATTCTATCCAAAACTAATTTAAACAAAATAAAAAGAGAACAAAAAAAAAGCAAAATAAAGTTTTGGCTTTACAATTTTGTGAAAGTAGGGGAAATTACCAATATAAGGGAAAGGAGAGCAAGCTTCAAGCCTTTCCCTGTGCAGATTTTTCAGTATTGAGCGTTTTTTGTTTTGGCAATCAATAGTTACGTAGGCAATGGTTAAGAGCAAAAAAAAAATTTTAAAAAACACTAAAGTTTTGCAGGCACTCCTAAGCTCCATTCACACCAGATCCACTGTGATCCGTTTTTCAACGGATGCTAATGCAAGGGTACCAAAAAATGAGTGGGTGTGAATGGGACTAGTTCACACCGCTGCGATCTGTTTCATTGCAGTGGGGGGGAACAATGCTCTACATTTTTATAGCTCAACATAAAACAGAACAAAAATAACGATGATTGGTGGTGAATAATGGTACACCGCACTAATTTATTTATGGTTAGTTCTACTACTAGCACGGTGTACCACCTTTACCCTAGTAAAAAAATACATAGATGTTTGTCCACGTTAATTAAAATAAAGTTTGGTGCAAAAGGAACAGAAGTCAACGGACCCTCCATTGGCTTAAAATGTGGTCCCGATTTTGCTGTGAACATGCCATTGAAGGAAGGTGACAATGCTCAGGTGTGAACAAACACCATTACAAGTAGTAGGATTACTGCGCATTGTTACACTTTGGTAAAGACAACAAAAACCCTCAGGTGTATACAGGGTCCGCTCTCGCAAAAAAAAAAGGGGGAAAAAAGTGTTTATATCGCTTCTATCTTACAGCACTGGGGGTCCCCGGTTCAAACCCCGGTCAGGGCACATCTCCAGGTACTCCTGTATCCTCCCACACGTCAAAGACATGCTGGAAGGTTAACTGTCTCCTGTCTAAATTGTGCCTGCATACATGTGAGATAGGGACCTTAGATTGGAAGCTCTTTGAGGGCAGGGACTGATGTGAATGTGTACATTGGTAGCACTATATGAATACGTGTAATAAATAAATGATGTTTGAATAGATTTCTATCCGCTCTGCACAGAGCCCAGCCCTTGGAAAGTTTGAATGGAGAGCGGATATGAAGTTCCTCCTCTCCAGACGCTGCAGGACAATGATCCCGCTATGAGCGGCCCCTCCCCCATCCCTGTGATGAATGAGCTGCCATGTAGAGTACAGCAGAACCGGCATGTCATACCGCTCCCATCCCACAGGAAAACACGAGGATAACCATGACCTTGCCCCAACGCGACACCTACCTCCCGGGTGGTGACCTCCTCCTTCTCGGATATCTTCACCATTAGCCGGTCATTCTCCAGCTCCAGAGATCGCACCCGGTCTATATAGACTGCCAGGCGGTCATTGAGATGCCGCAGCTCTTCTTTCTCCTGCAAGCGGCTGATACGAGTCGGCGAGAGAGGGGTGCGAGCCCCCCGGGAGGGGGACTGTGCTACAGGGGGTACCTGACGGCTGGGGGTGGAGGTAGCCATGCTCAGATCGGGACTTCCCGCCAAGCAGATAATGTCAAGCACAAAAGTCGGCCCAGAGCTCCTTTCTCCTCAGGCAACAGTCACTTTTCATTCAATGGCGGGAGTGATTAGCGTCGTCCAATCCCGAAAGGAGAACACACGTGACATCAGGGCCATGCGCTACTCCGCTGCAGCCATGTCTTGTGAGGGCACTGTGGATCTCCAGTGTGTCGTGAGAGCGAGCGCTCAGCTCTCTAGCGATATGTCATACCCTTCCTAAAGATGGCGCTCCAGCTAAGCTAGAAGGGCGGGGCTTTGGCACAAATAAGGGGCGTGGTTGGCCAGTAGCGCTGGCATGCGGCCATTTTAGGGCTGTGCGCTGGCTGCAGAAGGCGCTCGCTTAATAGTTGTGGTTTGGGTTTTGCTAGTATTGCAGTGTTTGCGGCTCATTGTCTAATGTGGTTATGTGGCTAGGCGTGTTCTAGTTTATAGTGGCCTCCTTGTAAAGAGGCCAGAGACCACCTGACTACAGCCGCACCTGCTCACTGTTTTCTGGAATGTATCCAATGCCGGCAAATCAATGCTACAACAATGTTTTCTATAGATACATGTAAAGATGTGACATGATGTTATTCAGGCTGCAATCACACTAGCCTGCCTATTAAAATGTTCAGTTTTAGAGGACGGGCACTGTCTCAGCATTTCCTTTTTTTTAATTATTTTTAACTTTATTTAGAGTGTACAAACTTCACTCGGTTCAGGTACCCACACAGCAATGTGGTCCTGTTCCATCCAGTGCACTGCATAACTTATATACCTTTTTCCATACTTCACCTCAGATTACACCCATGTTGTGGTGTGAGTGATTAAGTTCTATGTCCCCTGTGAAGAAAAATCCGGGTCCCTGCATGTAGTGTGAACGTAGCCTTACGCTGTATGTTTACCTTTGTTTAGGTGCATTTACTTGCATCATCAAAAAAATAAATCTGTGGGGGGAAATTTATCAAAGGGTTTGAGACCAAAGGAGCACAAATGATTGTTCCACATTTGCGTCCTTTTTCTGTCACCGCTATTACACTTAAGTATTGGCAACCAGATGGATATAAATAGCGACAAGACGTGTAGTCCACACACTTATGTCAGATCTGCAATAGTCCTCTGCGTCTGAAATTATACACAGAACAGTCGCATGTTAAGTTCTCAGTAGGCTGTGTTATCCTGTCATAAAAGTCTTCTCACTCCTTTAACCCCTTCCTGTAGAAAATAGCTCTACATACCCTTCCCGTCTAAGCTTTGACTCCCCATGTCAGAGGTTATGCGCTGGTAGTTTGGGGAAGCCATAAACAGTGCAATGGCACACAGCAAAATGAGACATTGCTGGCATTTGTTTCTTCCTATTTTAAAGCTGGCCATACACCCAGGGGCGTCCCGAGCCCAGATGTCAATCAGTCTCAAGACGGGGTGACACCCCGCCGAGAAGTCACCTTGCGCATGGGCAATGACGTCATCACGCATGCGCTACCATCTGATTGGTGCCTGCCGGTGGCCATCTTGGTGATGGACGCTGGCAGAGAGAGGAGGGGACATTCACTCAGCGGGATGAGATATTCTGCCGGGTCCCCTCCTCTCTCCTGACACTGTCGGGCTCTCGGTCCATTGTTAGAGCCAGGTCCCAGCAGCAACCACTGCAATGGTTGTAGTTCTCGTCAAAATGTCAAGGATCGGCACTGGTATCTGAACATCCCTAGTCCCTATACATACACACTAGAGGTGCACCGAAATTAAAATTTCAAAACCGAAATGAAAAAAAATGTCAGGCCGAAACCGAAAATGTTTTTTTTTCTAACTTTTTAAAAATATTAAATTTTTATTTATTTTTTATAAACTTTTTATTTTTTTATATATTTTATTTTTTACTTTATTGTTGGGGGCTTCTGGGAAATATTAGGGGTCTGAGACAGAGTCCTCAATCTCTTATTCTGCAGCCCCTGTTATAAATGAACAGGAATCCTCTATACTGAGTGTTCCTGTTCGTGGACATAGTATGTTTACTATATCCACAATCATGAATGAACAGGAAGTGATGTAGATCACTTCCCATTCATTCATAATTGGGGACACAGTAAACATACTATGTCCTCCATTATTTACAAACAGTCAGTGATTACTGATAGCTGAGTATTTGTACTCGCTCTCCATCCTGGATCGGCTGTCACAGGAGGTTGGGCGGGGAGGTGTGGGAAAAGAGCTCAGCCTCATGTGACAGCAATGACAGCTGTCTCCACCCACACCATCGCTCTCCTGATCTTTCACAGGAGGCTGAGCGGTGCGCAGAGGAGAGACGCCGGCCACTCACAGCACTCTCCTCCTCCCTCCTGTAACAGTTTCTCTCCTCCCCGCTGGGACAGGAGAGAAGCCAGGGATGCACGGCTATTTCGGTCAAAAAATGGCACTTTAGGCATTTTGCCAAAAGTGCAATTTTTGGCCGATATGTTTTGGCGTACAAAATTTCGGTGCATCCCTAATACACACGCATACAGGGCCAATTTAGACAGGAGCCAATTAACCTTCCAGCATGTCTTTGGAGTGTGGGAGGAAACCCACGCAAGCACAGGGAGGACATGCAAATGCCATGCAGATAGTGACCCTGGCTGGGATTCAAACTGGGGAGCCCCAGTGCTGCATGGCAGAAGTGCTATAATATGCAGTAATAGGGATACAAAAGAGCCTATGAATAAACATTTTTAAATTGTGTCACAATAAGTTTTAGGTAATTTTTTTTACAATGTTTACTAAAATGAAATAATAATTGAACACAAAATCGTTTATTAAGCAAAGGCGCCAATTCTGTTGCCCAACTGAACAACTTTTTTCCGAAAGAGTAAAAACAAATGACTTTTGTTATGTATTTTAGCTCTTTTAATAATGCAAGTCTGGAACACAAACGTAGACATTGATGAGTATAAATATTCTTGAAGGTAGAAGAGTTCCCTCCCAGCATTCTTCTGATAATGAGATTTGCAGATACTTTTCAAATGCAGAGCACCATATTGAACCCAGCTTTTGTTGCACTGTTGAGGTGCAATTAACAATATATGTCAGTGCATTACAACACTGTGCTACTATATAGCAGTTTATGACACTTGTTATATCACACATTGTGGTGTGAACAAGTCCTAAGGGATCTGGGTGACTCAAACCATCCATTAGATGAAAAAATAAAAAACAAAGAGATGTTTCCATAAAAACTGCGTGTAAAAACATTCAGTAGATCCACAGATTTTAAAAAACTGAAGTTATATGGAAATTGTAACATTTCTGGTAAAATCCAGACTTGTTCAAGTCACCTCCAACTTCCAAAACACTTCTATTAATCAAAATAAAGGACTAATAGGGAATCTTGGATTTGCCCCTTTTTATAACACATTTACTTTAAGGTATCCGTAGACAGTTGCCGGAAAACTCAATTGACAAAATACAGTCATAATGAAGTCATCTGCTGTGTAATGATCTAATCATCTTCATATTTTCTCTTCTTATAAGAAGTATTCCATAGAATACCATCAGACATCTACTGTAGTTATCTTTTCCCTAAGAAAAAGTAGCTAGAAGAGATGAGCGGAATGATTTCACTGAAACCAATTTCACCTTCTTGGAAATTTTGCCAAAGTGAAAACGATCAACTTCATCTTCCCTATTGACTCTTATGCATTTTACTAAAGTGGCAATATTGTATTGAACTCTAAATTAAACCTAAATTTGCAAGAACTGAAACCTCTTAATTGCACTCATCACTAGTAGCAGTACACTATAAAAAAAAGCCCTGCAAATAGCTACATGTCAAAGCAGTGAGCAGCAGACAGCAGCCAGCGGTCCGAGATCAGCACAGCTCCACATTTGTGCTCCTTTCTCCGCAGCCAGAGACTAACTTGCCACAGCCACTCTCCTCTCAGGGAACCGGTTCCCCCTACTATCTTATTAAAGGGTATTACAGGAGCTGTGCCACAATCTGTTAAAGAAGGAAAAGAAAAAATGTTAAAAATAACAACTTTGTTAACGAAGGCGCCAATTCTGTTGCCCAACTGAACAACTTTTTTTTTTTCCGAAAGAGTAAAAACAAATGACTTTTGTTATGTATTTTAGCTCTTTTAATAATGCAAGTCTGGAACACAAACGTAGTAGACATTGATGAGTATAAATATTCTTGAAGGTAGAAGAGTTCCCTCCCAGCATTCTTCTGATAATGAGATTTGCAGATGGGAGCATAGTCCAGACTCTGAATGTCTCTATCAGGATATTTTTGTTTGAATCTTGGCGCCTTTTGAAAGAGATACGAGCACACTGAAACAGCTGCGGGAGGGAGGAGGAGGGCTTGGTACTGTAATAATGCCAAGGGGAGGGCTTGAAAGAAAACCATTTCATTGCCAGACCAGTTCGTTACATGTGTTACTTTACAACAGGGAAAACATTATGTGTTGCTAAGAGCACTGTTTCTTCCTTAGGTTGGCAGATGTTTTATAAACATGAGTGACTTCAAGTGACCTACACAGACCCAAGTGACACTGAAGCCAAATGTTTTTGTTGGCGTGCAGTGCACTAACAACTGTTTTACTACCAACTGTGCAGCCCTGACAGACGTAACAATGCTACTGCTCCATTTGCAAATATGTTTATTATGATACCCATCCTTGCAATTATCTACATTAGTATTTCTGCATTTGGTTTAACTGGTATGACACAAGTGAAGTCAGAACTGCATACTTGCTCCAGGTCAAACCAATAGATCAGTGTGACAGCCTGGCAACTAGCATTCTCAGGAGATGACAGCTCATGTCATTTTCTCAGCACCTGTTTTCTGTAACGTAAAAAAATCTAAAAGTTTTGTGCTTTTTAAGTGCACAGTGTTTAAGAATACAAAAACAGATGGCCAGCCTTATTTTCTCATAACTCAGGTAGGGTTTCCTTCCTACCAACTAATGCTGGATTGTAATTGTACTTCAGTGCTTCTTGTTCTTAACAGAAGTCAGAGTTGATTTGAAAGAAAACAGTACCGTCTATGTCAGTGTAACGATACATACATTAAAGTGACACTAAACTCAGGAGTTAAATCTTAAAAAAAAACATTTAATTACCGTAACTATTAACACAAACGTATCTTATTATCACTCGGCTTTAGAACCTCAAATCATCTTTAAGGGTCCATTCACACTATGGGGTTTATTCACAAAAGGGTGAAGAGTTTGGAGAGGACAGGGGAAGTGAACAATCTAGGACACTATAGCTGAACTGGAAAGTGAGATGAATTGGAGAATTTCTCCAAATCAGCTATTTTGGCCTAGATTGTTCACTTCTCCTG